CTTTGTAGTGAAGAGCCAGATCAAAGGCTCAAGTGCGAGCGAGACAACTGAAGACATCTTAAGGCTGATTTCTTACCAAAATGAAGATGGCTGGGCTGTTCTCACCGTAGGCTCGATGCCCGTGCTTGTCGGTCGCGGCGTTTTGGTTCTACGATTGCTCGAGGACTTCCCCAAATGGAAGCAAACTTTGAGGTTGAAAGGATTCCCTGATGCTTTCAGAGAATACTTCAATGTGTTGGCTGCTAAGAGTCACCAATGCGATCGAGTTATTCTTCCGGGATTCAGTGGATGGATTCCCATGGCTGTCAACTGTCCTGAATGTCCTCGCTTCATGGAGACTGGTATTAGCTTCAAATGCTGCCATGGAGGTGCTCATATGTGATCATGATTCATATATATCAATAATCTTTTTATTATGATATATGTCACTACTATTACTACTACTATTGTAATCAATAATGCATTGCATCTGATTTGATTCCACGTTTCTTTATTGAAATTATCGGAGTCCAATTGGTCTCGTTACTGATAAAAGTTTATGTATGCTTTGTATTACTCAAATTAAATGGTTATCGATGTTTCTCAACCACATCAATTTAAGTACTTTATCTGGTTGTTGTCACACTTTCACTATGTTTTGTAGTTAACTAATACTTAAGTATAAAAGGTAATGAGAGCAGAGATAGGAAAAAACCCGTCTTTTGTTTGAAGAAGTATCATGTGAGACCAAAATCTTTTTGATAAAGGTCACAGGTGGAGAATGGGAACGACTCATCGGTGTCAATAGGGTGTGATCCTTACCTCGTGAGGAAGGAAATAGTCGACCTTTCGAAGTTCAAGTTCCTTTAAGTTGCTTCTTGTTTTTTTTTTGGGATAAGAAATCGATTCATTATGGCCAAAGAACAGCCTAAAGATATGGGACGAGGAAGCCCCTTCTAAAATAACTAGCAAAAACAAAGTTCTCCTGTCTTGAAGGACCATAAAGACACTAGTTAGGCTGGTTTGCTTGATCTAATGTTGATTGTTAATTTCATTAGGTTTTCTAATACTTAAATATATAAAATTGATAAAATTGGAATCATATGATTATGGCTAATAATTCAAGAAAGATTAGCTCTTCGAATATGTTTTCTTTAAAGAATATAATATTACAATTTTGAGGGGAAATTTTCAACCTTTTAACTTATTAAAGAAAATAAAAAAACGTGGGAGGACATTGCAGATGTCTAGGACGGACCTGACTTCTTCTAACGATGGAAGACTACTCGAAGACATCTGAGGCTAGAGCATGTTGTGAAAGAAGCACACTGTGCGTGCTTCGACCGTGTCTCCAGGGCACATTTGAATGTAGATATCATGAACGTGAGGAGCACAATACTACGCTGAGAAATCTGGACAACCACTCCTCTATGTGGTGATCACTAGCGCATCCAGTGCTCCAGCACCCAGCTTCACTGGAGAGGCCTAGACTAAACTAATAAGTGCTAATTCGGTTCGTGTCGACTTCATTCAAGAATGCTGCCACCATATTTGGTATTATAACGTAGGCCTTTAAACTTTGCTCAGGTTGGTACCTAAAAAATTTTCACCTATGTATTTGATGATTTGCAAAGGCCTGGTTCATTTGTAGTCAAAGTAAAAGACACAAAAGAGAACTGAGGGAAGGCGTAAAGTAGAGTCGAGAGTAAAGAAACAGAGGCAGTAGCGTAAAGAAATGCCTGTTGACAAACATGATTAATGCTTTTTTCAGAAGTGAATATCAAAAGGGCACAAAGAATCAAGACTAATACAGGGAAATAAATGCTAACCGCATCTATGAGTGTTTTGGGGTCATGCTTTTTGAGAAAATAGAAATAAAAAAACGGAAACATTACCAAACAGGTTCTAAACGTGTGTTTTTATATAATATTGATCAAGGAAGGAAGAAGCATGTTATTCTACTAGCCAGGTGGATCCAACCATTTGAGGAGAGAGTAGAAATATTGATAAACGATCCTTTGATCATGGAAGGATATCCATTTGAGATGTGTTGAGGAGAGAGTAGAAATATTGATAAACGACGATCCTTTGATCATGGAAGGATATCCATTTGAGACTGTACACTTCGGAAACAATGCAAGAGGAGAGGATGATGCTGCACTTATGGCTCATTTTTGGAACACACAATGGGGATATTTTTTAATCAAGAGTCAGGTAAATGATCCAAAGTACGAGTGAAACAACATAAGATAATTAATATGGTATCAAAGTTCAAAATACTCAAATGAGTAACCAGTCTAAAAATGGAATCTGGTCAAGATCGATGAGCCAAAATAGCACGATCTTGAGAGGACATATTAAAGATCTCACATTGGAGAAAACGAGAGGAACCTAACAATGGTTTATAATATGAGTGGACTAATTACCCATTAGTTTTGAGATGAAACTGCATGTATATTGATGTATGGTATCAAAGCCCAAAAGCTCAAACAAGCATTCGGTCCAAAAATGGGATCCGACCAAGATCGATGGAACTCCATCAATCTTAAGATTGATTTCTTACCAAAATGAAGATGGCTGAGCTGTTTTTACCGTAGGCTCGACGCCCGTGCTCGTCGGTCGTGGCGTTTTGATTCAACGATTGCTAGAGGATTTTCCAAAATGGAAGCAAACCTTGCCCCTTAAAGGATTCCCTTATGCTTTTAGAGAATACTTCAATGAGTTGGCTGCAAAGATCCACCAGTGCAGTGAAGTTATTCTTCCAGGATTTAGTGGATGGATTCCTGTAACTGTCAATTGTCCTGAATGTCCTCGCTTCATGGAGCCTGCTGTTGGCTTCAACTGCTGCCACAAAAGGGCTGATATGTGAGATGATGATGATCCATATATATCATAATATAATAAGATTGCAATCTTATTATATTATGATACATTTGAAATGTTTCTTTATTAAAATATTGTCCGACTCCAATTGGGTCTCGCTACTGATAAAGCTTATGTATGTTTTGTGTATTACTTTTAATTAAATGATCATCAAATGTTTCTGAATCACCACACATCAAATTAACTACTTTATCTGGTTAATTGGAGGTTATTTTCATTAGGCCTTGTAGTTTACTAATACTTAAATATATAAAATTAAGAAAAATGGAATCATACCAAAGATACAATTTGAAGTACGTGAGAAACATAAAAAAGGAAAAAAAAAAAGAGCTAGCTAAAAGCGCTCTAATGAAGAGAAATAGTAAAAATATCGTAACTGCAAAAGAGAGATGAGACTTTGATGTCCAAAGAAGAGGCTAAAATTATACAGTCATCCAAAGATGAGTATAAGATCGTGATGTATTTGAGAAAATGCGGTTGTTACGCTCCAATCAAATACTCCAAACAAGAGCTCCGAGCATTGCTCCAAATTATAATTCCCCTTCTATTATTCATAGGGAAGAAGGAGAGGGCTTCCCATACGAAGTGGTGAATGTGTTCAAAGGAGTGGGAGAAAGGTGCTGAAAATGCCAAAAATATAATTCCACAGCGTGTAGGGGCAATAGATGATCCAATGATTTAGCAGAGCACTTGCAGCAGAAAACACCTGCATGGATAAATAACTAGAGACTTGTACTTGAGCTGAAGTTTTTCGCCCGTGTTTTAAACCTCGATGAAGGATGCACCATATAAAAATTTGCATTTTTTTGGGAAGAGCGCTTCAACCTATTAAAGAAAATATTTGGTATTATAATGTAGGCCTTTAAACTTTGCTCATGTTGGTACCTAAAAAAAGTATGTTCTATTTATTTGATGATTTGTTCTGTATCATTAGTGGTATATTATTATTCTTTACCTTATAAAAATGTGGAACCAAGGACAGAATATACCAGGAGGTAAATACATTGGTAAAAGAGAAAAATAAAGAAGTTAAAAAGGAGATTCTGTCGGTTGTAAAAAGATAAAGCCTGTGAATAAGGTAATTAAGAACACAAACAATCAACATAAAGACTGCTAAGGAAACACTAATTTACAGGTTATATATATGGTGGGTTTTTTTGAATATTACAATCCATTTTCCTTATTGAAATAACACTAATGACGACTTTAATAATAATTAAATAAATCTAGTTGTTTTTGGTAAAAAAAAAAAAAAAAGAGTTGAGAGAGAGTAAAAAAGCATTAACAGGTAGAAGATTTGATGCGATCCTTTGAAACATTCGGTTGAAGAGAAACAACCAAACGTTTGGGGACATTTATAAATCTCCAAATAGTCTATGGGAGGATATTATTGTCTCTACATCTACTTGGTCTTCAAAATCAAGTCTCTTTTGTAATTACGATATATCTACTATTTCTTTCAATTGTAGTGCTTTCAGTTAGACCTCATCTTTTGTATATGTATGTTTCTCGTATACTTTTAATGAAATATGGTTCCTCTACTTCTAAAAAAAGAAGATTTAAATGATAACCGTGTTAACCATGTATACTTTATTATAATAAAACAACACTCTAAACTCATATCATTGAAATATGTAGCACACAAAACATTTTGAATATCGTTGTTGACCATGTGCCCACCCTAATGGGCATACATGAGATGCACTAATGTGTGTTGGATCCATATCAGGTTCGAGAGCCTCCTCAACGGAAACTTCTACTTCTTCCCGTGTGGAAGACATTATTATTTAGTAGAATATATATATGCTAGTATTATAGTAAATTCAGCATAAACTCAAGTTTCTTATTTGTTAGCACCGCGACCGTGGCAGCACTTGAAGTTAATACCCGTCTCCATAAAGCGAGTACACTCGGGGCAATTGACTATCATAGGAATCCATCCACTGAACCCAGGAAGAGTTACTCTTTCACATTGATGAGCCGTGGGAGCCAACTCATTGAAATGATCTTTGAAAGAATTGGGGAAGCCTTTCATGTTCAAATTGTGTTTCCATTTGTTGAAGTCTTCAAACACAGCCAAAACCAAATTCCCACGACCTACAAGAAGAGGTGCAGAGCCCACAACCAGAACGGCCCAACCATCTTCATTTTCATAAGATATCAGTCGCAAGATGTCTTCTGTTGTTTCACTTGCACTTGAACCAATTAATTGACTTTTGAGTACAAAAAAGCCCCATTGTGTGATCCAAAAACGAGACATGAACCTAGAATTTTCAGCTCCTTTGGAGTTATTCCCTATTGGTACAATCTCAAATGCTATGCCATTGTCTTTCATCAGTCTATCATTCTTGATGTCCACCACTTTCTCTTCAAATCGTTGGATCCATTCGGGATCTTTCCCTCCATAGAATATAATGCTCCTTTCTTGATTGATCTGAGAAAAAAAAAAAATAATAATGTTCAGATTTTATAGTATATATGTTTAGTATCAATGTATCAATATTCATGGAGTTCAAGTACAGCTATTTTGGGTTCACAAATCTTAAATTCGAACACCATATTAATATTCATAGGTTCCATTTCAAAGGCTTAGATCTCTTGGTTGTGTTTGGTTGGTCATCTTAAAATCGAAATTTGAAAATAATTGATTCAGTAAAAATAGGATTGTTTTGAGTATTTTTAAATTTATGTTTTTTCACAGATTTAAAAATTGAATCTTAATTTAAAAAATTGTTCAAAGTGTCTAGTAGTATATTTGTAAACTAGTATTATTTATTAACATATATATTATACATTTTGTATAATTATTATTTTATAATATTATATATTATATATTTTTTAGTTTTATAAAAAATGAAAAGAGTTTATAACACGATGTAAGATATTTATCAAATTTTTATCTTTCTTAATGCAATTCCGCATTTTAAAGTTTCAAATTTAGAATTTGAAAATATTGAGACAAAAAATGTTGTTTTAAGAATTTACATGGTTTATATCACATAATCCAAAAACAGTTTTCGAAAACTGAGTACGAAAACAAATCAACCTCATATTCGAGATGAGATTCTAGAAATAGACACAGAAAATAGGAGTAATTAAAAGAATTTGCACATACCCAACTTTGTAATCTTGGTTGGTCACTGAATTTGACAATGGTTGATTCTGGCCAATTCTTTCTCAATAAGGTATTTGCCCTCTCATTGGAAAAAGGAAGAGCATTAGTTCCCCAAACACGAAGTAAATGAATTGCATTTGTAAATTTTACTTTGGATTTGGAGTCAAGCACCACCATTAAAGCATCGTCTCTAAGTTGCCACTTCTCTTCTACAAATCTCAGTCCAGCAATTTTTGTAGTATATTGGACTACGTACCATTTCATTGCTGATCTCACATGCTCATACCTTTTACGGCTCTGTTCTTCATCAAAAACTTCTGAATTCATCACAGGAATCCATACAATCTTGTAATTGTCCTCTTTTTTCAGCTCATCGTGAACTAAATGAAGAGCTCGAAGATCTTCCTCTGAAATGTCCAATCCGGAAACAAGTAATATCACATTCTTTCCTCCCAAAGCATCTTCGATTCTTTCCTATAAGAATGTAACAAAAATAATGTAGCCTATTAATCATAAAATTAAAAAAAGAAATTCAAAATTGACGAATTTTCAAGTCTAAGATTCATTTGTTAATGTTCCATTCGGTAAAAGCGTCTAGACAGGGGCCACATTTCTATACTGGTATGATATATATTATCCCCTTTGGACGTTAGCCCTCGTAACTTTATTTTTTGTTTCACTAAAAATGTCTCGTATCAACGAAGATGTTGTTTCGCACTTATATACTATTGATCTTAATGTGAGACTTTCGTTACATTTTCCAACATGTTCTTGTTTTCTTGTTTCTTATTTCTTGTTTTTGTTTCTAATTTTTTAGAAAATCTAAATACTCGATAACTATTCCTATTTCTTGTTTCTATTTTCCAAAAAAGTTTCTAAAATTGTGTAGAAATTTCGGAAACAACACAGTCAAGTTTATTGTTGTGTTTCTAATTTTTTCTAAATAAAAATATTATTCATTATCATTCTTGACTTATAAATATATAATAAATATTAAAAAAATATAAGATAAAATAAAATAATATTTAATTAATTATACTTTTTTAATAAGGACATCTCTACCATTTCTCTCCGTGCTTTATTTTAGTCTTATTTTTTTTAGATTCCTCGCATCCTTTTTCAAATGAAATGATCTCTTTCAAAAATAATTTTTTTAAAATTAATTTTCATATATGAAAAATTACTTTTTTTTTTAATTTAAAATTGAAGAGAATTAGAAATAAGAAACGAGAACTTAGAATCCTAGGAGACACAAAAAGAAAACTATAACGTTTTAGAATTCGTGTTTAGGTTTGGACTAAGTAGTGTGTATTACTGACCTCCTTGTGAGTCAAACCATTGATTAAAGGCTTGGCATTAGTCTTGCCTTCGAGCAGCTTAGACACAACCAATGTTATTTCAGTAGGAAACTGATCGATATGATCAACAAGCCACCTATATAGATTAAGTTCTTCTGCATCACAAAATTAAAACCAAGCATTAGAAATTACCATATTAATTCATGGCTAATTAAAAAATACGAAGCTTAAGGTAAAAATTGGCATTTAATCGACCTTGCTGTTCTCCAATAATATTAAGTTGGCTTTCAAGTATACTGAGGATGGCATTGAGTCTCTCACTCAATTCATTCAGGTATTGCTGAGATTGACTCCTGAGATTGTACAATAAATCACACTTAGCCATTTCACATTGCCGTATTAAATTTTCAACGACATTTTCACATGTTTATATATAGGTTCAACACCCACGATATTTCTATTATATTATAAAAAAATCGACAAAATATATCACTATTTCAATGAAATTGAGTTTTGAAAAAGGTAAAATGCGCTTATTTTGTCCATTTTTTGTAATATCACCAACAAAATTGAGGCCTTTATATTATGTTCACAAAATCTACATTTATTTAATCATTTATAGACATTTTAACACTCTCCCAGGATTTGGGAAGAATATGACAATACATAGATTTGAACACACAATCTTCTACTTTGATACCCATATTAATATTTATGAAAATTTTATCTCAAAAACTAATTAGCAATAATAGGAGTAGTTCATGTATATATAAACTTCATTAAGTCCCTAATCTTTTCGAGGTTAGATCTTTAACAACTTGTATACCACATCAAGTTGGGTCATACAAGTTCCCATATAAACATAGTTCATTTAATGGAATGACATTAATAGGGATTCGAACTTACTCGGTGCCTGTCAGGTAGCTGGAGATCTCAGTTCTCGAAGCCACAATAGCGTGTATAACCCAGTAAGTAAACAGCGGGATTTGGCGAAGGGCAGATGACAACTCAGGAGTTTCGCTGGAATCATATTTGGAGAAAATTCTGACTTGATTCATGCGTTTGATCACCAGCAAGCAACTGTGTATGAGACTGTTGGGGCTAAGAACTACTTGTCGATACTTGATGGAGTCCAAATGCTTCTTCAATGAGGTTGATTGGCGCATTGTGGCCAAGGACTTAGCCAGTGGGTCAGCATTAGAGTGATGGTTAAGGTGCCATATGATTCCATGGTCAGTAGCAAATGCTGCGAGAGTTAGAATTGCCTTGGCTTCCCAAGGATGGCTAATCAATATGTCGAAGATGGCAAGAGTAGTTTGATGAGCTTTCTCTATCCCCGGAGTCTTGAATGCCAACTGATATATACTAATACATTTGAATTCTTAACTAAATTTTAAAATGGTTACTGATATGCCTAATTAAGTAAGATATGAACGTTGTAAAGAGAGATGCTTAATATTATTGCTACAAAAAGGGAAAAGAGGAAGAAAAAGATAATGAGCTTGAAGTTGTAAAGAATTAAAGCTATTTAGGTGATTTTTTCTTCTCAAAAAGTTTGTTTATATATATATATATGTTCTAACACAGCCCTCAAAAAAGGATTGACAAGGGTTTCGAGTCTCTTGCTCACACAAATTTAGAGGTCTCAAGTTTGAGTCTTCTTCAGAAGTACAGTTTCCAATAAATCCTTTATGTCTCTCATGGGTGCGAGTGCCCTCGGTTATAGGGAGATTAGGTGGCCGTAAGCTACATCTATCATTGCTTTCGGATTATATATATGTTTTATCCCTAGTGTTTGAGTGTTTTTGTCAAATTTTGTCTCTTTTATTTTAACAATTTTCAATCATATCACTCTCTTTTGATGGAGGTCAAAATTGACTAATAATAAATTTATATGGCATGATATGTACTAAATGAGTTAGTAGAAAGTTTAGACGGAAAATTTGACCACGTAAGAGAAGAAAAAACAAATTTGTACCAATTTCTCAAAATTTTAGAAAATGAGTTATGAATTTTTCTCTCTTAGATGACTTAATTTCTCTCACAAATTTATGCAGTCACACAGTATCATGTCAGATAAGTTTATCATTAATAATTAATTCTAATATTGATCCATAAGAAAATGGTATAACTAAAAAATATAAAAACATATTTTGTAAGCAATAGAAACTAAATAAAAAATAACTCAAATATTAGGGACAAAAACATACCTTTAGCATTAAAACTATTTTCTATTACTTTTAATTTTAAAAAGCATTTAAAATTAGTTCTTCTCTTCTTGTATTTTATTTATAATTTAATCTCCACATGTAACACATTTAATTCAAGTTATACTTTTCTAAAAAATAATTATTACATTCGAATAGAAAATTTAATAAAAACACAACTAAAACCATGTGAAAAAAAAAATTATTGCTAAAATTATTATTGTCGTGGAAATTGTATTTTGAGGTGTATTTTAAGGCCGTGTTTAATAAACATTTCATTTTTTTATGCTTAAAAATTAGGCTCAGAAACATAACGTTCGTGTTAAGGATCCTACATTGTAAAGAGAAGGAAACATGGACTACTCCTCTCATTGTCAATTGATTTTGATATGGTATTAGAGCCTAAATGCTCAAACGAGCAATCGATCAAAAAATGGGATCCGGCCAAGATCGATGAGTCAAAAGAGTCACGATCTTGAGAGGGCATGTTAAGAATCCCACATTGAAAAGAGAAGGAAACATGAGCTACTGCTCTCATTGTCAATTGGTTTTGAGATGATGGAACCCCATGAATATTAATAGTTCGTCTATGCATGTTCTGTTTTGTTATATAGTTTTTATTAATATTTTCTAAATCTAGAACAAATTTTGAAGGGAAAAAAATAGTTTTCAAAAAGTAGGTTTTTATATATATATTTTAATTTGGCTAAGAATGGAAGTATATTACAAAGAAGTAAAAACTTATCACACAATCGAGCATAATTTTTAAAAATTAAAAACAAAATTGTTATCTATTACAGTTGAAAAATAATCGCATATTATATTATTGTTCATATAAGTTTACGAAAATTTATATGACCTCATTAGAAATTTTCTGAAGAATATCAGCTGGAGGATCAACAGTCACGGTGGTTTTATAAGAATCGTCTGAATATACCACACGTCCGTCGTGTCCCTACAATGAACAATACACAACACAATTCAAATCAGTCATTTGAGTAATTTGTAATAAAAACAACTAGAAACTGAACAACAACATATCGCGAAAGCGAACATAATTCAGCGATAACTGGCATATATCTCCAACTAAGATATTATGAGTTCGATCTCCCACTCCCATATGTTGTACTTAAAAAAAACATATAAAAAAACTTGGTATTACTCGAGAAAAAGCTTCACTGATTTGATCAACATTTGCAAGAGTGCTTTCGAGAAATGAAATATAATTATTGACATCAATTTTGGTCTTTTCGTCGTCGTCGTCACGATGCTTAGCATATATATGACCCGCAACGACATCGTCGGTTAGCTTTCTCAAACTCAGCTCTTCTTTGGAGGGAGTTTTGGGAGTTAGAACAGACATGGTTGTAGAAGGCAAAAAGATGGGAGATCTTGTCTGAAGGGGGGCAAAGGGAGAAAAATATGTTTGTGTGTTTTGTTGGGCTAACATTTATTAGCTATTTATAACCATTTAAAATGTGATGGAACATTAAAGTTAAAGACAAGAGTAAATTAATTAAGGTAGCTACTGTTTTTGGTCCAAAGAATTGTATGTGAAGATTGAGCTTTAATAAATTACCTAAGTGAGTTAGTGGGGCCAATCTTGCCTTCCTCCTCACGGGTGCCTATAATTTAGCAAAGAAAATGGTCAAATATTAATTATAAGTTTGTTAAAGGTGGTATCTGTATTCTGAGTATAATACTTCTCTACTAGAAATCTCTCATCTCTCTTCTTCTCTATATTGTTATTCTTTCCTATCTATCAAAATTTTAGTGAATACAATTTTTTAAGACTCGTTGCATGGTAATAAGGATTTTATAGTCATCTAAATGATCAATGGGATATCACTCATACGAGCATAGTAGTTAAGAGCCTCTTTGGTTGAGAATTCAGATTATGTTTATTGTTTTTAGATTCATTAAGTGAATAGCTATGATCCAAATAGAAACTTTGAAAACTATGGATTCACCGAATAAAATGGATTAAGTGAATAAAATGGATTGAAAATTCAGATTCTAAATTTGAAATTTTAAAATGCATAATTATATTTAAAAGATAAAAACTTTGATAAGTACTATACTATTTTATGTTATAAATTCATTTCATTTTTATTTAAAATTAAAATATATAGAAACATAATATACTGTAAATTATATAATATTGTAAAATAATAAGTATACAACATTATAATATATATGTTGATTAATTAATTAATAATATTATAGATTGAACTAAATAGTTGGTAACTACCATCACCTTACAATTATATATATATATATATATATTATCATCTAGGAGTCTGTTTGGTCTTAATATCTCTATATTTGAGGTATGCACACTGTCTCCCTACTCGTACATATGACTGGTTTAAACCCAAGWCTTTATGGATATTCCTTTGAAGTCTTAAGCCATCAAAGCTATCCCTTGAGACCTTATATATTATTACTAAACATACTTTGGAAATTTTTTAAATTGTGATTCAATTTCCAAATCTGCTACGAAACACGTATTAAAAAACACTAAGAAAATGAAATATAATTATATTTTTGATTGAATCCTTGATCATCAACCAAACTTTACTCCTAAGATATCATTTTTACTTCCTCCAAGAGACGATCGTCAGTTAAAAATCTCTAGAAAGTGATGTGATCGTGTGCTAACTCAAAGGAAAGATAAAGAAATAGCGGGTAAATAACTGATTTTCTTTTGTTTTTTTTTTTAAAGTGAAAGAAATATAAAAGAAATCATCCTAAATAACTCAAGACAATAGAAGGATTATGAGAATTTAAATAATAAATGATCTATACAATGTATTAGACAGATTTGAGCATAGGTAAAATTCAAGGTTTACCATTATTATAACATATATCATGTAGATTTTTTTTTTTTTTTGCTATTTTTATAAAGTTTCTTTGGATATACATTGTTCCCTACAAATTAAAATAGTTAGCTATAAATCTATTCTTTTAAAAGGCAAATATTTTGTCTTCACTTTTATCGAACTACCCAAATAGCAACCTTATAACATAAGGCTGAATTGTATACTCAAAAAGTTCTATAAAATGATCGATTCGTATTGTCACAATCTCAATTTTTAGGGGTTGATATTTATTATTAAAGTTAAGAAAAAAGAAACCTAAGTTCAGGACAGTTTTGTAAAGGGCAAAGATTACAAAGGACCCAAATTCACTTTTCTTTTTCCCTTATAGGAGCATATATACTTTAGAAAAAAGTGGTAAATTAAGTGGGTAGTAAGTTTGGCATTACGTTCTAAAAGAAAATATTCGATTTTAAGAATTAATTGAAGACTTGAGGAAGAAGACAAGATTGCACCACTCGAGTAGAAAAGATTCGATATTAAAAATGAACTGATGACTTGCATTTATGATAGTTAATTTCTTTTAGCCCTTTTACTGTTTACAATTTTTAACTGTCCTTGTGTATGTATCACAAATAGTTTTGAATCAGGGAAGACAGATATCAGAAAACATGACCAAACTTTGAAAAACTGTCATTAATACATCCCCAACAATAGTTAAAAATTGTCACGAATTGATCTTCAACGACAATTAAAGAACATCACAGAAATACATTTCATGATACCTTATATCAATCACTAAAACAATAAAAAAATTCGTATTCCGATCAATTTAATGACGGCAATTTATAATTGTACGAAATGTTTTTTTCAACGTAGTCTATAAACGTCACTATATCAATTTATAAGTGTAAAGCAAAACTTTTTAACCGTCATGAATCTGTTAACTATGATGTTCTTTGTATCGCATATATATTGTGTTGAACAAAAGTAGTTCTTACATATCATTAATATATAGCGATTTGCCATAATTATAATCAATCAATATCAAGATAAATCAGTTGTTTTTATTTTTATTATTTCTTTTAGTACAACAAATATGTCAGGTGAAGATTCAAAATTTCGAACTCACAATCTTTTGATATAGGAGATATATGTTTTAATCAATTGAACAATGCTTAGTCGACATAGATAATATATATTCAAAAGGTCGTGGGGGTTCAAATGCCTACTCCAATGTCGTAAAAGAAATTATTAATAATATTTTTTCAAAAAATAATAACAATGTTTTCTTATTAAAGACTTGTTTTCTAAGATCAACAATATGTGGAGATGAAGATTTTAATCTCCAACTTGGTCAAACATATGTCTTTAACCCATCTAGTTTTTATAAATAACCAGAGTACTTTAGGTTATATTGGTCAAAGTCCATAGCGTAACTTTTTTTTTCCCTTGAGAATCCATTGTGTGATGTGTAAAGTAAGAAAAATTAAGATGTGTAGTAGTACCATGTTAACGAAAATGGTATCTCAAGTACTCCGAGTATCTTTACAATACTAGCTATGATATCATCCGTTTTGTATATATCTCTCATAGTTTTGCTTTTGGTGTCACCCAAAAAACCTCGTACCAGGAGATCATAATTGTCATCTCTTATATACACATGATCATTCCCTTCCCTAGTTAATGTGAGAATTTATTTACACTCTCCTTACAAGCCCAACATAGCATTATTTCGAGACTCGAGAGTCTTATATTGATTTTTACTAGAGTGGATTTCTTCTTCTCTCCTGTTTTTTTTCTTCCTTTCAGAAAATTTCTATGTAAATATGCAACTTTTTTCCTTCATTATTTGGCATTATAATATGAGTAAAAAATCTTATTCAAAAAATTAAACATATAGATGGTGCAGGCTTAACACCAACATCTAATAACTGCATTGGCCTAAAAAACTAGATTTATTTCGTATATGTTATCATAAAGTAGCTGAAGAACACCCCGACCCGACCCGACCCGACCCTGCATTTTCCATCATTACATGTGAGTTCGACCGTGGCAACATTTGAAGTTGATACCAGTTTCCATGAATCGAGGACATTCAGGACAATTGACAACCATTGGAATCCATCCACTAAATCCTGGAAGAGTCACTCTATCACACTGATGAGTCGTCACAGCAAGCTCATTGAAATAATCTTTGAAAGAATCACCAAAACCTTTTAAGTTCAGAATTTGTTTCCATTTTCTGAAGTCTTCCAACACAGCCAAAATCAAATCGCCACGACCAACAAGGAGAGGCGCAGACCCAACCGTTACGACGCCCCAACCATTCTCGTTTTCGTAAGATATCAACCGCAGAATATCTTCGGTTGTTTCGCTTGCACTCGAACCTCTTATCTGACTCTTGACTATGAAGAAACCCCATTGCGTGACCCAAAAACGAGACATGAGTCTAGGATCATCTTCTCCTGCAATGTTCTTTCCTATGCGTACAATCTCAAATGTGATCCCTTTGGCTCTTAACAACGAATCGTTTTTAATGTCTATCACTTTGTCCTCAAATTGTTGGATCCATTTTGGGTCTTTTCCTCCATAGAATATGATACTCTTGTCTTGGTTGATCTAGTTGGAAAGGAAAATAATTGTATCTAAGTATATATACACACATGCTATAAAATATTGGAAAATATTTGACTCCTTAACGATAAGGATCAAATCTTGTCTTCACGACCATTGAAAAAATGGCAACTCATTAATTTTTATAAAAATTCTATGTTTTTGCATTAGATTTAGTGGTGCTGAGGACAAGATTTCTCCTCTTAGAAAAATACTTAGGCTTAAAGATCAAATCTTGTCCTCACCACTATTCAAAAATTGACAATTAATTAATTGTTATAAAAAGTTTATGTTTTTACATTTTTCTCTCTTAGTTATCAGACATTTAGTGGTAGTGAGGACAAGATTCCTTCTATTAGCAAAATACTTAAATCAAACCAAATCTTGTCCTAATAACCACCATTAAAAATTTGACAATTATTCATTTTTATAAAAAGTCTCTGTTTTTGCATTTATCTCCCTCAGTTGTCGAACATTTAAGGGTGGTAAGGACAATATTTCTTCCATTAGGAAAATACTTTCCTCAAAACCAAATTTTGTTCTCATTACCATTAAAAATTTGATAACTTATTAATTTTTATAAAAAGTTTATGCTTTTGCATTTTTCAGTTGTCAAACATAAAGGGGTGGTAAGGACAAGATTCCTCCTATTAGGAAAATACTTGCTCAAGACCAAATTTTGTCCTCACCACTGCCATTAAAAATTTGACAATTCATGAATTTTTATAAAAGTCTCTATTTTTGCAACATTTAGTAGCGGTAAAGACAAGATTCCTCCTTGTGGTTTAGGAGTCAAGTATTTTCCATATTGTACACATGCGCAATAATATAGAAAACTTACCCAACTGTTTAATCTTGGGTGGTGAGTAAATTTCAGAATAGTAGACTCTGGCCAATTCTTTCTCAATAAAGTGTCAAGTTTCTGATTCGTGAAGGGAATAGCCTCAGATCCCCAAACTCGAATAAGATGAATCGCATTTGTGAATTCCACTTTGGATTGTGAATTAAGAACAACAACTAATGGATCATCTCTGAGTTGCCAATTTTCTTCTAAGAACCTCCACCCTGCAATTTTTTCCGTGTATTGCACTATATACCATGGCATTTTGGACACTAAATCCTCGTACCTTTGTTTGTTTTCTTCAGCAACATCATTTGGGTTGATAATTGGAATCCAAACAATCTTGTATTTATCTTCTCCATGCAATTCATTGTAAACTATATGAAGTGCCTTAATATCTTCCTCGGAAATATTTAATCCAGATATTACTAATATCACCTTCTTCCTCCTCAAACTATTTTCAACACTAACCTGTATTGTAAATACAACACTCATTAATTAGTGAATCTATAAACCAAATATGAAAACTTTTAAGTTTCAATTACTAAGGGTTCGTTTGGTAACGTTCCTGTTTCTTGTTTCTGTTTTCTTTATATTTAATGAAGAAAAATGTAATGCATGATTCCAACCTCTAAGTATCATAAAACAATCTTTTTATTTATGTTTTGGAACAAATTGGAAATGGGAACAAGAAAGGAGAAACTAGTTTTAGTTGTTTCCAAAATTTCTATACAATTGTGAGAAAATTCCAAAACATGAGAAACAATAAACAAAGGTAGTTGAAAAATAGTTAGATTTCCTAAGAAAATTGGAAACGAGAAACAAGAAACGGGAATGTTACCAGACGAGCCTTAAATGAACTACTTTTAAACTTCTAAACAAGATAAGTAATTTCAAAAATATTTTCTTTTGAAATTTGACAAAAAAATAATAAAAAAAAAATTTAAGTGCTTTAATAGAGTAATTTAATTTTTTAAAAATAAAGAAGTATTGATATATATATATATATACACACATATAAAAGACCTTTTTTCGAGTGGAACCATCTATGAATGGCTTAGCTTCCATCTTCCCCTCAATCAACTTCGACAAAACCAATGATAATTCAGTAGGAAAATTATCAACATGATCCATCAACCATTTATACAGGTTAATCTCTTCTGCATTACAAAAAAATAAATACTTAGGTACGTTAATTTAACAAGCAAATAGTATCTTACGTTAATTTAATTCTTTCTTTGTAAAAGTCAAACTTGTTTATTTATCATTTTTTCCTTTTCTTTTTCTTTTTTAAAATAACACTTCTAAATTCTCTTAACTAAATTTCAAGAACAAAAAGGTTGAAAGAGAGATGTTTTTTTTTTGGGTAAAAAATTGGCAAAGATTTTAACAATAATTTTGAGAAAATAAATTATAGAATAAAGAAGTTGAGAGAAAATAAAGCACCTTGCTGTTCTCGTATGATATTCAAATGGTTTTCGAGTGTGAAGAGTATGGAACGGATCTTTTCTGTCAACTCATTCAAATAATTTTGTGATTGACCCCTGAAAAATTATTGCACCATATATATGTGAGTTAATTGATATTGAAACAACTTTGTTTTAATGCATAAAAAAAACTATCAAGTTTAATTATTAGGTTTTTTTTTTTTTTAAAATAGATGAGAGATTGAATCTCAAAAATAATGTTACAGTGGTTTATAATAGACATGGTCGGTTACTCTTCTCATTGTCAATAGGATGTTGTAATTGTTGAATTAAGTTCACATTGGTAAATTTAAATCATAGATTATTTGTGTCAAAAAGGGACACAATTGAAGTAATTAATAATTAAAAGGGGTTTCTAATTAAGTATCATGACATTCACTCTAGCTAATATATTTTTGTTACACTAGTAAATGAAATAAATGATTTCTATAATCATTTCTTAAATTCAATATAAATATTCCATTGACCTAAGAGGAGAAGTAGTATTGCTTTCCTAAAGTTGAAATACCAAAAAAAAAAAATATTTTTTAATTTAGAAAACAATTCTATGTTATATTCTCAATTCTTATATTTGCTCCTTGTCTTAATAAAATTCAACTTTTTATATCTACGACATAAAATACAAGCCTGGCACAACACGTGTGTTTTAAAATATTTTTTCTATTTTTGACAATTTGGTCAAGAAATAAAAAATTTTTAATAGAGGGAAAGTTTTTACTCTCCATAAAAACACACCTATGAATTCTAAGCGAACTTTAAAAAACGAAAACAAGTTTTCGAAGATATTTTGTTTTTTTAGTTTCAAAACTTTTTTATTAGATTTAAAATCATTTTAAAAAGATGATAGCAAATTAAAACAAAGAAAAACCTGGATAAAAGTAGTGTTTACAAGTTGGATTTTCAAAAACATAAAACTAAAAACAAATTGATTATGAACCAAAAACCAAAAGAAACAACACAAACAATTAAAAAAATCACATTAGAAAAAGAAAAATTAGCTAATTAAAATACTTACTGAGTAGCAGTCAAGTAACCAGAAATTTCAGTTCTGGAAGCAACAATAATGTGTATAATCCAATAAGTAATCAAAGGGATTTGGCGAATGGCAGAAGACAACTCAGTGAGCTCCTTGATATCATACTTTGAGAAATTCTTAATCTCTATCATGTATTTGATGGCTTGCAAGCAACCATGGATCAGACAGCGAGGACTAAGAAACACTTGCCGATATTTGGGAGTGTACAAATGTTTTTTTAGCTCAGGGACTTGTTTGATGATGGCCAATGTTCTTGCGAGTGGGTCTGTTTTGAAGTAATAGTTGAGATGCCATAAGTCTCCATAATCAGTGGCAAATGCTGCGAGGGCTAGAATTGCCTTTGCCTCCCATGGATAGCTGATTAGTATGTCAAGGATCTCCATTGTCGTCTCGTGGGCTTTTCCAATCCCGGGTGCTTTACATGCCAACTGTTCGATATTATGCAGAAATTTGTTAAGGATCTCACGTTGGAAAGATAATGATCTATTAAAAAGATTTATAATAGACATGGATTACTCCTCCCATTATGAATTGGTTTTGAGATGAAACTCGATGAATATTGATTTGGTATTAGAACCAACAATATTCAAATGAGCATTTGGTCCAAAAATAGAATCCGACCAAGATTGGGGAGCTCAAAATAGTCACCATCTTGAGCAAGGATGTTAAGGCGATAACTATGATATACCATTTTAGCTAGGCTTTGTTTAATGTATCTATATTAAAGGTTAAATTACAAATTTAGTCCTTATACTTTTGAGGTGGGTGTCTCCACTAAGTTTTTTAATCTTAATGAGTGTCTAATTAAGCTAGGTATAGTAGGAGAACTTGATTAATGATCTATTAAATATAACAAAGAACAATACTTTCAATTTTGTGTCTAATTAGGTTACTAACATGTTAGATAGTTTTAAAATGTATGAACATATAAGATATAAAATTGAAATTTCAGCAATTATTAGACACGGTTATGAAAGTTATGAAAGTTTAAAAACCTATTAAACGTAGCTTGAAAAGAAAAAATCAAATGAGCAGTAAGTATGCTTGATCTTTTAGTTGGGAGAAAATTATAAGTAGAATAATAATCAAATAAATGGATGAGTTTGGTCATTATTATATTGATTTCTTTTCTTTTTAATACACTATGGCGGAGTGAGGAAAAAAGAACAATTATATCCTAACCAGAGCTAAGCTGGTTGGCTACTTTATTTTTTATGCAAAAAAAAAGGCCTCACATAAAATAAAACCTTATAAATGAATATAAAGTTAGCTCCTCAGGTGCCATATATATTTAATTGATAATGTCTATGTGTCAACTATTAATGTTTTTCTTGTTTACCCCCTAACTCGAAAGTTTAAGTTAATAGATTAAGATGATTTAATCTTCGTGACTACCTCTCAATCCATTAAATAATCAATTGAAATAAAATATATATATATATATATATATATATATATATATATATATAAAGCTTTAATGAATGACCTCACTGGAGATTCGATGTAGAGTACAAAGAGGTAGATTGAGTGAAGAGTCACTTCCAGATGCCATACGCCCTTCAATAACCTGCAAATTGAGACACAAACATAATTTACTAGTACTAAAAAGACTCTAAAAAGAAAATAAATTCAATGAAACTTTTTAACCAATGAGTTATAATAATAAAAGAAAGCTTAAGCTTTTTACACGAGAAACGCTATCGGTTATTCGATCAGCAGTTATAATGATGCTTTCAACCAATGAGATATAATTATCGACATCAATCTTGATCTTATCGTCCTCACGATGTTTGGTGTAGATATAATCCGTAATGACATCATCGGAGAAGTGTTCGAGGCTCGTCTCCTCCTTGTGGTTTTGCAAGTTGGGATGAACAAGTGAGGTGGTGGAATTCTTCGGTGGTAACAAAGACATGATTTCAGAGAGTATGAAAATAGAGATCTAAGGAAATCCTATGGGAAAATCAGAGAGAAGAAGAAAGAAGAGTTGTTCAATTTGGTGGTTGTTTCTTTGATTTTGATTTGGTATTTATAGTTAAAAGAAGAATGTGGGGAGGAAGGAGACAATGGTAAAGGGAACAATGGAAGCCTACAGCTTTGGTCTAAAGAATAGAATATGTTTAATTGGATATTTGGTTAAAGTATATAATGGAATCGTATCTTATCTTCCTGTGTACTGATGATATATATTATATTGTTTTTTCTGTTTTATTTTACTTTTTAGTGGTTTGAATCAGAATGGGTCCTATTTTAGTTTTTTTTTTGTATTTTTTTAAAAACAAAAATCATACGTATACGTTTGATAACCATTTTTTGTTTTTTTATTGTTTTAGAAAACAAGAAACAAGACCCGTTTGATATCGATCTATTTCTTTTAGTTAGAGAATTGGAGAGATGTGTTTTAGAGAGAGAAATTCATGTAAGAATTTAAATGACAAAATGGTAGGATCAAGATGTCCTCTCATCCTCAACTAAAGTATTTGTCCCCAATAATTCATTCCCCAATTCAGGAGTCGGGGTCAAGGTCGAGGAACCCCAATTTTGGGATTGGGATATTCGCGGGAAGAATTACCTGTATTTAATTAGTAATTAATTATAACTATCCTTTAAATTAAAAATTGAAAATTATATAAGTATACATGATTTACCTGAAAGAAATTGGTATTTATATTAAGATCTTTAATATTTTTATTCCTAAAATATATATTAATTATTTAAAGAAAATGAATCAGAGGTTGGAGTAGGGGTGGGGTTGAAAATGCATTCTATATCTCTATCAATATTCATGGTTCCATCTCAAAATCAATTGACAATGARAGAAGTAGCACACAGCTCGATTCAAACTTTTTTTTTTTATACAATATGTGGGATGTGGAGCTTCGAACTCATAACCTCTTAATTAGAGATAAGTCTTAACCATTTGAGGTATGCTCAATTTGACGATTCAAACTTTTGAAATTTGGAATTTGATTTCATTTCATAACTCATGATGGTCAAGAAATGAGATGCCAGTATCAAACACCGTCAAAAAGGACAAAAAAATCAAGGCCTCAATTTGTAGAGATTTCAATAGAAATATTGATGAGTTAAATGTTGATGTCAACAACTTTTTAGAAATATTTTACACTTTTTAAATGAGTTATAAGTCTGTATTACAAGTGTTTAGCTTCACATCCCTGATCATATTTCGTCTAAACTATTAATAAATCTTGACATTTTTTTAGATTATATTTATGTTTGGAATATATGTAGAAAAAAAAAAGCATACCCTAAATTTGCATTAGATGAAGTAGAATGGTCATATTAAAATTAGTAACAAACAACTAGAAAGAGAAATTACTGCAACCACATATGGTGGTGAGATTTGAACCATCTTTTGATTGGGAATATAATATGTATTAACTATAGTGGAGGCCCAATTCAAAAGTCCAATATATCTTAATAAACACATAGCACAAATAATGATAAACAATGATATATACATATACATATATATACTTGATTTGGTACATTATTGATATACCTAATTTGATATATCATTAATATACTCAATTATGAATGTTGATATTCCAACGATATACTTGATATGAAGTTGATATACCAATTTTTTTGGAAAATTAGACTTCATTGATGTATGTGAAGAACATATCCAAAAAGAGGAGGTCTATATAAAACGCTCCAATTAAGACACGTAGTAGCTAAATCATAATTACAAAAAAGATTAGATTTTGTTGGCCAAAGATATACCAGATATATTACTTCTCTTCATTATGTTCAGTTTCTCTTATTAAAAATTGTGTTGTTTTATTACCAATTTTAGATGAAATGACTGTCTTTTATAACCTAAATGTCTATCTTTTATATCTAATAGGAATGTCGATATACTTGATTTGTTATATAATTGAAGGAATCAATAATATTGACATACTTGATTATGTGAGTACTGAAACATCAATGATATACACGTAATATAAATGATATGTCTAATATATATACCTCATTTGATATTTCATTGATACACCTGATTTTGATATCTCATTAATATATCTGAAAATTTGGAAGGGTAAGATTGAAATTACTGGAAAAAAAATCAAAAAATCTTATTTCAAATATTTTGCCATATTATCAAAACCCAAAAATTGTAACTATATTTGCAAATATTACAAATATTTTAGCTATCCATTGCAAATATCTCAAATTAAAAACAAAAAAAAAAACTATCAAAATTTGAATTGGGCTTTGTTTTAAGTTAGAGATAGAAACCCTAGGACAAAGATCCACTACAAGTTTTTGGCTGGAGAATGTCCATGACTGAAGCTGCTTGGCATCTATTCTTTGCCTTAATAAAAAGACAGTCGATGTTTCCTTGTGCTTTTTAGGAAAGTGATTCCACAGTTTAAATCAGTGATTTAATTAAACTTCCCTAAATTATTTCATCAGTTTAATTAGAAGTACAAAGTAGTGCCTAATTGCTGTCAAAAATGATTCTCATTCCTTAGCTGTAACTTCTGGAGTAAAGAGCAGGATGTTCTTCCAAAGTAACCTGCCAACAACAATGTTAATTTAGATTGTCCTGTCCCCACCAATAATCTTTTCCAAGAAATCTAATGAGTTGTATATTCTGTCGCAAAATCAACCCCTTTGTGCACAATCTCTGATTCTTGTCTTATTTCCTTCTCATAATTTAAGAATATATTTTAATTAACCAATTTAAAATACTTTTTAAAATTGTTTTTAATTAAAAGTAGCTAGAGAAATTTTTAAAGTATATTTTTTTTTTTGGAAAGATACCGGACCAATTTCATTAAGGTATGTGAGAAATATACCTACAAAAAAATGAGGGAGACTATATGTAAAAGCACTCCAATTAATTTTTTCTCGTAAGTTTTTTGGCATTCTAAACACACCTTAAAATGCCTATAAATGACTGAAGTTGAGTTAATCTAAAGGCTCATAATAAATCAGTACATAATAATATTCTATGCTTTAGACCAAAAAAAACAAGAAAGAAAAAGAAAAGAAAAGAAAAGAAAGAATGAAAACTGTATATTTCAAATTCTCCTTTCCCTTTTGTTTTATTTGTTTTTTTTTCCTTCTTTTCTAAAAGATATAAATACCCAATGCATATCAAGGCAATGACACAAAACAATCTCTTCTTCCTTCTCTTCTTTCACTTATACCAATATTTTCCCGTCTCTAATTTCTTCCAATCATGTCTGTAGTTCCTCCCAAGAACCCTACAACTCAATTGTTGCATTCTAAACCAGCAACAGCCACAAAGGAGGAGTTGAGTTTGAGGAACTTTTCCGACGAAGTTGTTACCGGTCATATCTATACCAAACATCGTGACGATGACAAGACCAAGATTGACGTTGACAATTATATCTCACTTGTCGAAAGCATCATTACGGTTGCTGACCGAATCAGCGAAAGTGCTACTCGAGTATGAACTGCGCTCTCTTTTATTTTTTTTAGATATCTTATAAATGATTAAATTTATCCTAACCTATTCCTTTAAATTTTTTTTGGGCAAGTTCATATCTGTTACCGTCAAGTTTTGATATTGTAGGGCGTTGAAGGACATGCAGTATTTTCTGATGACACTTTGAAATCTAGCGTTTCTGTTGATCCACCACTCTGTACCCTTCACAAAATATCTAGCGAGGTCATTTATGAATTACGATTACTGTTTATATATTCGTGCATATAATTTGTTTAATTTCTAGTTGATTTTTCAAAATCACCATCCACATTGTTCTCATGTTCCATGTGAGCCATCCAAACTATCCCTTAAGGACAATGACCCTTTGCGTAAGTATGAGACATACCATCCAAGTCATACCTTAGAAATCAATTTCAAATGATTTTAAAATTTCTTAAAATCAATTTTTTAATTTAACAAACTAGAAAGTGGCATGCCAAAATTACTCCCCAACATATCCTAAATCAACTTTGGAAGGTTTTCAATTAGAAGTAGTAAATCTCTAAGAGCCCGTTTGGTAACATTTTCTTTTCTTGTTTCTTGTTTCCTCTTTTTTAATAAATAAAAATTACATAATTGTATTTGGTAGTTGTTTTTTGTTATTTTTTTTTCTTGTTTCTTTTTTTCAAAAATTTCTTTACAATTTTCAAAACATTTCTAAGAAACAAGAAATACACCAATTCATGCTTAAGTTTGTCAATAAAACTAAAACAATAAATAAGAATATTACCCAAACGGGTCCTATATAAATCTTAACGACCGCAAGTAAGTTGTATTTTTTACGAAATACAACTCAAAACCCAACGATTAGACACATGGTTATAACCCCATTTCTCAAACTTTCCTCTCCCATAAATCCAACCGTTACAAAAATTACTATACACACATGAAACAATTTCTCCACTCTACAGTTAAAGCGAACATAGCTCAGTACAGTAATTGACATATATATCTAACCAAGAGGTTGCATGTTCGATCCTCACAAAAAAAAAAAGAGAAAAACTCCACTCTACACATTTTAAGATGTAATTTACTGGCATGAAAAGCAGTTGTCATGCAAGGCTCCAGGAATAGAGAAGGCCCACCAAACTACACTTGTCATCCTCGATATATTGATAAGCTATCCATGGGAAGCAAAAGCAGTTCTGGCTTTGACTGCTTTTGTGACTGAGTATGGAGACATTTGGCACCTCAACCATTACTCTCACCATGACCCTCTTGCAAAAGCACTTGCACTTATCAAGCGAGGGGCTTCCTTGAAAAAGCACTTGGATTCTTTGAAGTATCGGCAAGTGCTTCTTAGCCCCACCAGCCTCATCTACAGCTGCTTGAAAGCTATCAAGCACATGAATAAGATAAGGGAATTTTCCAAATACGACATCAAGGAGCTTACAGAGTTGTCTTCTGCCGTTCGCCAAATCCCATTGATTACGTATTGGATTATACATATTATTGTTGCTTCTAGGACGGAGGTCTCCAGTTATTTGAATGACACTGAGTAAGTATATGCTTTAATATATATGTGCACTTCTCATTAGTTTTTGTTCATTTTAGTGAGAGTTTTGAAATAACTGACTATGGTTTTTTTTCTCTTTTTTATTACAATGTTTTTCAGGGGCCAGCCACAAAGATATCTGACTGAATTGGCTGAGAAGATTAATTCTATTATCAACATACTTGAGAACCAATTGAGTGTTATCCGAGGGCAACAAGGTTAGTTTTCAGCTAAGCATGGACGGACACTTCGTGTTGGATACTGTAAACACTTATTTGGACACATATTAGATATTTGTTAGCCCAATAGAATACATGCCACACACTAGTTGAATATGAATTCGACACTTTTAGAGGTTAAGAATTCCATGTTGAAAAGAATTGGGAATCTAACAATGGTTTATAATATAAGTGGATTATTCCTCTCATTTTTAATTGATTTTGAAATGAAACCCCATAAAAAAAATGACGATCTTGAAGGGACATATTAAGGATCCCACATTAAAAAAATAGAAACTTAACCATAGTTTATAATATAAGTGGGCTACGTACTCTTCTTATTTCCAATTGGTTTTAAGATAGAACGCCACGGATATTGATATTAGACACATATGGAACATTGATCAAACATAAGAAATAGACATAAATAATAATCCATGACAAAATAATAGATCTTGAGAGCAGAATACATCAAATTCATTTTTAGCATAAAAATGCACAAACTTCTCGACTTTGAATGGTATATTTTATTAAACGTGTCCATGTCTATATCCTAAATTTTTAGAAAATGACTGTGTGTAAGCTCTATTTTGCTATGGGCTATTGTTGTGTATAAATCACCACATGCATATTGACTAAGAAAGTTTTGGTTTTCATATGATGCAGAGGAGATTGATCTTTATAGGTGGCTTGTGGATCATATTGAGAACTTCCCCACTGAGATTCCATTGGTTGTGTCCAAATTGGTCGAAGGCAAAATTCATTCCAAGCCTTTCTTTGATGGTTCTACTCTAACAGAGGTTTGTAATAATTCTATACAAATTGTGGTCTAAAACACATATTATTCCAACTAAACTACACAAATCTAGCGATTTAATTGCTCTATATTACCATAATTGGGTACTTTTATGTGTGGAATAATGTGCACAGGTTAGCGTTGAATCTAGTTTGGCAGACAAAAATGTTATATTGGTCATTTCTGGGCTAGACATCTCAAATGAAGATATTAAAGCTCTTCATTTAGTTCATAGTGAGGTAAAAAAGGAAGACAAATACAAGATTGTTTGGATTCCAATTATCCCAGAATATGCCACTGAAGAAGAGCGAAAAAAATATGATTATATTAAGTCTACAACAAAATGGTACACAATACAATATACTACAAAAGTTGCAGGCTTGAGGTTTCTTGAAGAACAGTGGCAACTCAGAGAAGATCCGTTGGTCGTTGTGCTTAATTCAAAATCGAAAGTGGAATTCACAAATGCAATTCATTTGATTCGAGTTTGGGGAACTGATGCAATTCCATTCACTCGCAATAGGGCTGATATATTATTGAGGAAAAATTGGCCAGAGTCCACTATTATCAAATTTACAGACCACCCAAGGCTGCGAAGCTGGGTATGTTCACAGTTACGTTCCATTTTCTTTTCCATTATTGTTAAATTCAAATTCTGTTTTTTTCTTTTCAGATTGAATATGCTTCTCGCAACGTTTGACAAATTTGTTTTTTAAAACCGTTTTCAGATTCTGCTATTCAAACAGTGAAAATTTTGAAAACAACCTTGATGTTTTCAGATTTTGAATTTGAAACTTTAAAATGTTGAATTACATTAAGAACGATTAAAAATTTCGATAAATATATTATTTCACCTTATAAGCGATCATTTCATTTTTGTTATTTTCTGTTACTATTATTATTATTTTGTTGAAGAATTTGTTAAAATTAAAACACGCAAAATATAATATATTATAAATTATACATCATTGTAAAATATTTCTCACATACTTGTGTGAATAAATGGTGTATTGTCTTCTACTCAAAAATATTATTTTAGATTGAAATAAATATTTAGTTGCTAACTGCAACTAGTTTATAAAATATATTGCTAAAACATGTTGAACAACATTTTAGATTGAGATTGAATTTCCAAATCTAATACCAAACACATATATCTGAAAACACTAAAATAAAGAATGCAACTATGTTTTTCATTGAAACTCTATTTTCAGAATGATTTATGTTTTCTGATCACCAACCAAACCCACCATAACTTATCTACGGTTGTTTCAATTTAGATTAACCAAGAAAGGAGCATTCTATTCTATGGAGGAAAAGACCCCAAATGGATCCAAAATTTTGAAGAGAAAGTAGTGGACATCAAAAGTGACCCCTTAATGAGGGACAAAGGAATCACATTTGAAATCGTACGCATTGGAAAGAACTTCCAAGGAGAAGATGATCCTATACTCATGTCTCGCTTTTGGCTCACACAATGGGGCTACTTCATAGTCAAGAGCCAAGTAAAAGGCTCGAGTGCAAGTGAAACAACTGAAGATATCTTGCGTTTGATATCATACCAAAATGAAAATGGCTGGGCGGTGTTAGCCGTGGGCTCGGCACCGCTGCTCGTGGGTCGTGGCAATTTGGTTTTGGCAGTGATGGAGGAGTTTAACAAATGGAAATCGAATCTGAACATAAAGGGATTTCCTGACTCTTTCACGGATTACTTCAATGATTTGGCTCTCAAGACTCACCAATGTGAAAGAGTGACACTTCCAGGATTCAGTGGATGGATTCCAATGGTTGTCAACTGTCCTGAATGCCCTCGTTTCATGGAGACTGGTATTAGCTTCAAGTGTTGCCATGGACACACTCACATGTGATGATCTTCGATCGATCATTCGACTCAAAGAAGGGATTTATAATGTGCTATGTCTCGTCTACATATATATATATATATATATATATATATATATATAATACTATTAAATAATGGTGTAATGTTTCGTTGTTTCTTATTCTATTTCCTCGATTGAATTTGAGATTGTTTGAGCTACGTGATGATCTTACGCGTTGGTGAAAGGTTACTACAAAATCATATTCTCAGAGTATTTGACACGATCCGTCTCAAAAATATTTTACTAGTGTTAGGAGTTATGTCGACCACATATCTCAATTAACTATAGAGATTATATATAGTCAAACTTCTAATCAACTAAGCCTTTGACTAGCTCAAACTGGCTGTTGAGATTTCAGACGGAACCAAATTGTCTGTGGAGCAAGTTGATGATAGCCAAATTGTCTCCTGGATCTCTTCCCTCTGTTTGCAAATTTGGGAGTTACAAATCTCCTTGGCTCCATATCTCTAAGTGCATTGATTTTTTCAATAGCTCCACGAATAGATTGGTGGGTAATGGGAGGGACACCCTTTTCTGGTATCACAATTGGACAGGAGACAGCCCTTTTGCCTTACCCCAACCTCGTTTTTTTGCTCTGACAAACAACAAATTGATGTCCGTTCGAGATGCTTGGGTTCATTCTTCTTGGAACCTCCACCCCCGAAGAGTTATTTTTGACAGAGAGCAGATTTTGTGGAATAACATCTCAGCAACTTTTCACTCGCCTTCTGACTCTAATGGTCTCGACAGACCTTTTTGGCTTCACTCAAGAGAGTGTATTTTTTCAGTAAAGTCCATAAAATCTAGGCTTGCTCGGCTACCTTTGATAAGCTGTGGAGTTTATACCTTCCTAAAAAGTTCAAGTTTTTTCTATGGTGCGTCTTCCATCGTGGTATTAACAAATTTGATAAGATGCAGATCAGATTTTCATCTCTGAATATCAGTCCAAATTGGTGCGTTTTGTGGAATTTATCGGGCGAAACATTAGATCATTTACTGCTCCATTGTTCTTTCACGGTTACATTGTGAAATAATCTCTTTTCCTCTGCTCTTCCTAAGCGTATTGAAAACCGTGACTCTCTACCCTTCATCTGAAAGCAGTAGATCCACTCTTTGGAAAAATTGTATTGGTGCTATTCTTTGAAGTGTTTGGCTGAAAAGAAACAATTGATCTTTTTTGGACAAATCTCGCTCTTCTGCTCAACTTTGGGAGGATATTAAAGTCTTGGATCAACTTGGTCCTCATCCTTTTTGTAATTATAATTTATCTACCATTTCGCTAAATTGGAGCGCTTTTATATAGCCACCTTCTTTTTTATGTTTCTCAGGTACCCTCTCAACAAAATGATTTCTCCTTTCTCAAAAAAACTAAACTTTTGACTAACAAGCAACTATATGCATTGCTAGACATGAAAAACTATTCTTACTCATTCTAAACATTGTATGCAATCAAAAGGGTGTAGATAAACCTTTCTCAACTCAAACTAAATACTAAATGAACGTACAAAATGGTAACACAAATGTTGAAAGAGTCTTAAGTGGTTGAAATTGATGAACTATAAATAGTGAGCTGAAAAGTAGTTTAAGCTGGGTAAACCATCGTAAAATCAAAGCCACTTAACTCAATAAAACAAAAAAGTAATGTCCAAAGCATAGGATTTGGAAATATTAACGTGGAAAAACTCCAAACCAGAAAAAAAATTACAAAATCAGTCAGTTAACTACAGCTCGTATACCAGACTTTATTTCAATTAGATGATTAAAATACAAGCCCATGAGCTCCTAGTTGGAACACACCTCATCCTTGTATTTTTCCAATGTGGACAACTTCTAGCACATAGAGCCAACAACTTTTATTCCAATATTTTGCCAAAATCCAATAAAAAAAGTCACGAAAAGTCAAAAATCCAAAAAATGTGCTTTTTACGTTTTATGACTTTTTTTTTTCCTTTTTCAGCCTCTTTTACATTTCATCAACATCACGGAAACTCATAAATACCAGATTACAGAGAATGTAGTAATTGAGCGACATAAGAAAAAAACTCAAGATTACATGATGTTTAAAAGCCACCATGAAAGGATTGAGGCGGGACTTTAGCCAGAAAATATGGAGATTTACATATTTTTGTTATTTAGGACAGTTTTTAAACGTCATGAAAAGAAAAAAATTGTGATTCCGTGATACTAAAAAAAACATCTCGAAAAGGTGGAGTATGGGTTTTTTGTGGGAAAAGATGGAGATTTACAAATTGTTCGTCATTTGTTATGTTAAAAACATAACAAAAAAGCTAAAAATAAAAATATTAAAAAAAAACCTATGTTTTCTCCGCAAAAAAAAACGTGCTTTCTACACTTTCTTTTTTTGTTTTCAGCCTCTTTTACTATTCATCAACGTCACCAACGTCACGGAAATTCATGAATACCAAATTAGAGATAATGTAACTCATCTCTTTATTTCAACATGAGCTTATTAACTCAACCGCAATTAGGATTTATATCTCTGTGAGATCATGTGTTCATATCTTTCTCACCCCACTTGTTCTACTCGAGAAAGAAAAAAGAAAGAAATAAATAAAGGAAAAAAAAGAAGAAAAAGGAAGAAAAAGAAAAGAAAAACTCTACGTTAGTTATCTTGTTGTGAGTTAACGGTAAACAGTGTACATTTCCAAGGTTTACTTCATTATTGATATTATTTTATCTTCACCACCTTATAAATTTCATTTAAAATTTTAGGGTTTGTTATATTATAATTATGATTTTTTTATTTTATTAAATTATTCTCGTTGACTAACAAGTTTATAACCTTACTTTAATATCAAAATGATTTTAAAATATTAAGCAATTTTTATTGACTAAAAAATAATTTTCAACCATATTTTTCAACCATATTTTTTATTTTTAAAAGTTGACCAATATTTCTAAGGGTCTTCCAGAAAGAAAAAACTAAAAACTTAAAGCCAAAACAGTAATAATAAAATCACATTTCAGTAGACCTTGTTCCTCCCCTTCCTCAATCTCCATATTTGTGGTACTAAAGATGATTATAATAATCATAAATAATCATAATTTCTAAAACGGAAAAATAAAATAAAATCCTTGTTAGCTTGAACTTTTGGGTGATTTTATCTTACTTGATTGAAACAACAATGAAATGAGATTTATTATTATTATTATTAAGAATATATAACAACATAATGTGTGGCAATTTTTTTCAGCACAACGAATGTAGGATTGAAGAATTGAACCTTCCATTAAAAAGAAGGTATTTATGTCTTTTGACAAAAAAAAAAAAAGAAAAAGTATTGGTAACTTCAGAAATCATATTTAAACTTATAAATTTCTCGGAAAAAAGTAAAGATGGTCTTTGACGACTTTTACCGCTATGCTATTAGGAACAATGAGATTATTTAAAATTACAACTTTATCAAATTACATAAATCTCCATACTCATTAATTGCTAATAAATTCAAAATCTACCTAACAACATCTCATAAAGAAAAACAATTATACTGTTAAATTATTTTATTTGTTATGATTTTTGGAATGATGTAATTAAAATGCAATCATTTACCTTTATTAATCCAAGAAATCATTGCTAAAGCGAGAATCGCTAAGCAGTAATTAGTATATATCTCTAACCAAGAGGTTATGAGTTCGATCCCCTACCCCAACATGTAGTAAAAAAAAACAAAATGAGATCCGACCAAGATCAATAAATCCAAAGATATGACTCAAGAGGAGAAAATTTTGGAAAATCTTTTGAGTGGAAGAAGGAAGAAGAGAATTGCTTGTGGCATTGCCTAAATATAACTATCAGAAGTGGGGGAAAAGAGAGAGAACCAAAAGGGGGTGGGGGGAATTGATGGCAACAATCTTATGTCTAAAGATTAGAATATTACTAGTGGGTTCCTTTTGCTTTTTATTTACTTTATTTAAAAAAATATAGTACTAAAAAATACTTTATTTAAAAATATAAATTACATAAACTTTAAGTACAATGTAATATTTGACTGTAACTTAATAATTATAAATTAATTTATCTTATTTTTAAATTTCGTCTTGAATTTATGGATATATACCTAGGACTAATTTTTATTGGGTTCAATTACATATTTAATTCCTATGATTTGTTATCATTTATGTTATTAAAATGTTGGTATTCAAGTATTTATGTTAGTAGTGAAAATACTAACAATGATATGACTACAAAAGTTAGACGACATAGCATATGAAGTTCTTAATAGATCTTTATTTTAATGATATTGAGTCATAGAGTCTACACATTGATGGAGTAGATTGTAAATGATTATTATTATTATTTTGAAAAAGAGACACCATTTAATTAACACAGAGTATGTCAATTTAAAATATTATGTTAGGTTAAAAATGAAGGAAAAAAGGGAAAACAAAAAAGAGAAATTGGGGTTTTTCTTATGAATTTAGGTGGAAATTCATATTTAATCTGCATTATCAATTATGCTAAAAAAAAATTAGCAAATATGAACTTAGTTCAACGGTAATTGGTACTCAAAAAAATCCTTCAGCCTTAGTTGTTGTACTAAAAAAATTAAGCACATACGTGAAAATGAATCAAGATTAAATATGGAAATTGACTGTTGATGCAAAATTCTACCTAAGTTTCAGGATGCAACCTGTAAGGTCGGTGCTTTGCGAGCTCCTCCTTGGGTACCTGCAAGAATAGGTTGGACACTCAGACCCCAAGTTAGTTTGGAATCCAAACTTAGACAGATCAGCACAGATTTTCGTACCTGAATTGATGTATGGATGGTGTATTTATAGTGGTCAATGGGGTAGCTATTTGTCCCATCAGGGTATTTCCCTAGGTCTTGCTAGGTTCCTCGCAAGGACCATCGGTCCATGTGCGTCACTAGACCCTTCCCTGCGCTAGGGCGGAAATCTCGAGCGTACGTATTCATTCTTACCAAAGTCTTTGATCCCAACCTGTTAGGTCGGGCTTACTGGTCTTGCTCGAACAAGTCGGCCTCCCGGAGTTTGCCTCCCCAACATTGACAATTTTAAGTCTTAAAAATATGTGCATGTGTGAAGATGAATAATAACAAATTTGGAATAGACCCACTTTTACTATTTCTTTGATAAAAGCTAACTCAGCCATAGTACACAACAATATTCTTTTATATGTGTTGTAATTGTGACAAAAGAATTTTCCTTCACATATTTCACTTTCTTTCTTTTTCTTTT